CTTTGTAAAATGCGCAACAGTTCTAACAATGAAGTGTTGAAGCCGACTGAACACAATATTCCATTAAAGATTTTAACAGTTCAGAGAATGGATTTCTAAGTTACTTTTCTTTAAAAAAAAAAATAAAGTATCTAAGATCAGAAAGGATCAATTCCAGAAGAGAAATATACCTACACAAAAATTAACCTACCAAATTAACTATATAAATAGCAATACAAACAACATGAATAAGCTCTACATTCCTGTCATTTCTTAAAGCTCACAGAGAGTGTAACTAATTTACTCAACTCCAATGCTTTATTTGTATTACAGAAGTAAAGGTTTTAGACATTAAGAGGGACAAGGGAAGGTCTGAACTGTTTTAGGTTAAAAAAAAAAAAAAAAAAGTCCTCCATATCAGATTATAAGATCTGCTGGGAAAGTGTCCAGCCATTGTTAATATAAGGAAAATGGTTTGCCCAACATCAATGTGACCTGGCAGCCAAGGAGAGTGGATGAGGAGGCACATGTCTCAACAATGACTTCACTGTACTAGTCAGTGAGGTACTAGGTGCCATTGAGTGAGCATGTGCACTGTGTGGGCATTGTATTCAAAATGACTCAGCAAGTAGAGCAACGAATCTGTGTTAAGCATGAACATTCCTCTGCGGGAACTATTTGGCTGATTCAGAAGGCCGTCAGGGATGATGAGTACAGAGCAAATAAATGAGTGGCACAAATGCTTCAAAGATGGCTGAGAATCTGTTGAAAATGATCCACATTCTAGAAGGCCTGCAACAAGCACAACACCTGAGAATGCTGAACATGTACAGGTTAAAAGACTCTATGTGAGGGAGAACTGTGAGGTCCCATGGTGCCTACTTTGAAAGGGACTGAGGGCCATTATACTATGTACAATGTTTCTTGTATCTTTTTCAATAAATGTCTCTATTTTTCATATTACATGGCTGTATACTTTCCGCACAGACCTTGTATTAATGGCAGCCGTAAATAAAATGCTAAGGCCAAATATACATTAAAGGTATACTTATGAACACTGCAAAACACATTATACACATCCTCAAACACTGAGATAAGGATGACAGACATGTTTAAACGCTACTAGATTAAGTGCTGCCTCCAACACAACACTGAGACTGGGGACAATTTGGGGCTTTATGGAAAAAAGGGCTCAAATGTATTATAAAGATCTACCTTGGCACAACAGTGTGGGATCCTGTGCTACTCTTGCCCTCAGCCTTAAGCCAACAGACTTTGTACTATTGTTTAGTAAACAATACTTTGTTTCTACTATGAATCCAGTATTTGTGGTTTCTCATCAAATATGCATCCTGATGTGAAATTTAAGAAAATATGCAAATCATGGAAAGATTCTTTTTTGGCTACATATGACAAAACAAATAATAAACCTAATATTAATTTTCTAGGAAGTACTAATGGATGGCTTCAGTTAAAATAACTAGGATTTGGCTGGGTGCAGTGACTCATGCCTATAATCCTAGCACTCTAGGAGGCCCAGGTGGGAGGATTGCTTGAGTTCAGGAGTTCCAGACCAGCCTGACCAAAAGTGAGACCCTGCTAAAAATAGAAAAAGTAGCTGAGTGTGATAGCACACGCCTGTAATTCCAGCTATTCAGGAGGCTGAAGCAGGAAGATCACTTGAGACCAGAAGTCTGAGGTTGCAGTGAGCTATGATGACACCATTGCACTCTACCTGGGGCGACAGAATGAGACTCTGCCCCACTACCCCCAAAAATAAAAAAAAAAAAAAACCCCTAGGATTATATTTTTTCAAATGATCTTATTCATCTTAAAAATTCAATGTTATATATAAATGTTTTTATATATCTATATATGTACATACTGTTTTAGGAGAAAACATCAGCATTTCAGCTTGATATTTTAAATAATGTCAATTATGCATATTTATTTGTAAAACTTCCCGTAAGTGAAACATGTTACAGTTACCTATAAACATTAACTTTTCACTATTTACAATTTGAATAATTATGGAATGTCTGTATATTGCAACCAAGTGAGTTAGAGAAAAGTCACAGAAACAATATAAATCTGATGCCCAATCTTTTATAAATATGAAATTACTTTCACTGGGTTTTCAAACTGTCAAGTATAAATAGGATGAGGTCAGTAATACTCAAGATGAGGCACTTTAACAATTACCCAAAAAGGTTAAGTGTACAAAAATGTAAAACAAAACCCTTGATATTAATCTTATCCTTAATTTCAGACATGATTAATCTGAGATGGTCTATATAAGGAGTATTATATACTTTTATTTTTTGCCCTTCTGCCTCCACTTGATCCAAGGCAACACAACTGAAATACATAAGATAAAGACACCACCACAGACCAGTTAATGGGCTCACATACAAATGAACTAAACATTATCTAATGACATTTGGGTTTCAGAAAGTAACTATTTCAACACTAAAACTTCTGCATAATTTTTTCACAAACATGTATAAATACATTGGTCTCTCAAAGGCAAATGGTATCTCTACTGTATTCCTAGACAAGAATGCTCTCTAATGTATTAACTGAATAACAATTTTACAGTCTTATGTGCTCTTTTAAAATACTGAATTTTAAAAATACTCAGAAATTTAAAAATTAAATCTACGAATACTTTCTAGATTACAATTTTAAGATAAAAAAAAAAGTAATAAAGAACAGATGTTTTCTTTTACCAGCCTTTTGTGAAAGACATTTTAAACACATACATTTTTGGCCAACTCATTTTTAACTTTAAATCACGTTCTCCATATATTTACATGTTTTGGTAGTTCAGATAATAAATACTTGATTAAAGACATTAATTCCTATTATTTTTATGAACTTATTATGCTGTATTCTTCCCAACTCTGATTTCCACATTCTTCTATCAGTAAAGAAAATGGCTGACTCAAATTTTAAAGTTCATCCAGAAGAGACTAAAAGCTTGAAGAAAAAAATCTATGAACTCATTTTTAGGTAGGAGTAGTTAAATCTCATTATATGTTTATTTCTGGTAGTTTATTATTTGATTTCTATAGCTCAAATATCCAAATGTCCTTTGATAAAAATACGAGTCAGAACTCATTTAAACATGGTTAGCTGTTCCAAGTCCATTCATCAAAATCACTTGTTCTGTGAGTGCACGCACGCATTCTGTAACTCCCTAAAATAGGCTTGCACTTCAAAACAGAGAAACTGACTTTCAATCATTATGCTAACAGACACTTAAGTCTCTTCTAAAATCAGTAGCTGGCCAATTTTCAAATAAATGTTAACAAAAAATTCTTATTTAGAATGACAAAAATTAAGCTTGGCAAAAGTAATGACTTTTATTTACAATTGCATGTATCAAGATTACAATAGAAACACTAGTGATACCATCTGAACAAAAGCAATGATTTATTGGTAATGGCAATGAATGAAACATTGACAGTCTCTGGCGAGAATCAAGCAATTATCCAGGAGCTGTAGATCTGATTGCAATATGGTCTTCCAGTGTCTTTTGTACCTTTAGTGGCTTTCTCCTTTTTTGCCAACTACCTAGAAAAACAAAAATAACTTTATATGTACATCTTATTGATTTAAAAATATGGGTTATTTTTTAAAATTCTAATATGGTAATCAGTTTTAAAACCTGGTATATTAATTTTTATCCTTAAAACTTTTTTGGCATGCAGTATATTTTCACTGCTGAAGCGAACTGTGACTCCCAGTTCCTGTCCCCTCAGACACAAGAAATTAAAAATAAAACACATGCAGGCTATTTTTGGGTTCCCATACTGTTTTAAGAAAAAGAAATGCAATTTTTCAAAACCAGGTTGACAGTTTAGAGAAGTTAATAAGAAAGATGATGCTGTATGAGTAAAACATATTTGGCATATTATTTTTAGGCAATTAGAAATCAAATGTTGATCACAAAATAATCTGGAATTAGAAGGGTATGCTAAACTCATCTCTTCATGCCCAAAATAGCAAGTTTCTAGACTTTTTCTTCAATATGTAGACATGCAGTGAAAATAGATTAAAAATGACTAATTTTTCCTGGTTTCTTTTTTTAATAAAAACTATGACTGCTATAAACGTACAATAAAAAAGGTAAAGAATAAATCTTGTTTCTGTCAATGATTAGAAAAATTCTCTTTTGAAGTGTTTTTTAATGTCCTGGTTGCCATATATGTGGCAGCATACAAACGTAAAAAATAAACTGTTTTCCACCAACAATTCTAGAAAACAAATTCTCTATGGGAGGGTTCTAAAACTATGTTCTAATTGAGTAATTTACTTCATATCTGAAGTTTATCACTAGATAATGTATTCTCATAGCAGAAATGCCTCTAAAGAAACCTACTTGCAAGATATTGAATGTCTGTTTGTATAGAAAGATTTCTACCTAAATTTATAAATGTAATTTTCACATTTTAAATTGATTCTGTTCTGAATGGCACTATCTACACCAAGCAAAAGTCATAAATGTCATCAGTACATATCTGGTCTAAAATATAACATAGCTGGATCAATGTCATTCAATGAGAAGATTTAAAAACTCTTTATACTGAATTCCCTATCACACAGTGCTAGAAATGCTTTTTTCCTCAGCCTAAGGAAAAACCACTTTTATGAATTTAAAGGAACTCCCCTCTGGTCCAAAGAAACCATGTCAAAAAGCCCAACAAGCCAGAGAGATGATAAAAAGATAGTTTCATAAAAAAGAACATGGATTAAGAATAGAGAAATTCAGGTTTTAAGAGCCACTGGATATCACAAATGAATTTAAGCTTATAAACACTGAGAGCATTATTGATCATTATATTACTTGGGAAATGCAAAACACAAAGCTATTAGATTAAGCAAAAGAAAAAAACAATATTAAAAATTAAAATTTTAGCAGATGTGATACAGAAGACACAAATCTGCATACTGTTTCACAGGTTGATAACTCTCAACTTGCCAATGTGTATTTTCTGTAAAAAAGAAGAAATTCAACATTCCAATATGGATTCTCACCCCAAATGTAAAACTCTTTTATTCATTCTTAAGTCTTTATAAAATTACACCTCAGACAGACAAACAAAAGTCTAGGTACATCAAAATTTGGTGTCCAAGATATTTTCAGTAAAGAGTCCATTGATCTTTTATGTTAATATTTTAACCAAGCCTGACATTCAGTCCATAAGTCCTTTAACTGGCCTTGAGTTCACTTGGATAGGCAAGAGCCGAGGACACGCCCACAAACAATCTGTAAAAAGACTTAGGGGCTAATGCTCCAGTAGGAAAAGAAAACCCACACTCTTCAACTAAAACTAATCAATATATTATACTAGCACTAATTTATGAACTTGATGAAACTGTTATCTTTAATTACCAAAATGGTTCTATAGTTCCTAAAAAATAAAATTTAAACTTTAGAATGGATTAAAACATTATTAGACAACTAGTTAGATCTGAAAGCATTTATAACAATTTAAGTTTTACTGCAGTATTACTTCTCAAAATGTAGTACAAAATTAAATATGAACAGTGTAAAGTAAAAAAAAAAAATAACAGAAGGTCTGATGAGCAACACGGTATGGTAATGAATTAAAGCACCTAGTTGCAAGCCCAAAACAAAACAAAAGGCCAACTGAGAAACAGGACTAGGATGAGATTTGAAGAAAGAGATGGTTGAGGAAATCTAGGTAACAAGAAGGCTGATCCAGATGATAGAAGCTGTAGAAATCTTGCACCAGCAATGGCGAGAACATGGGAAGGGTGAGAGCAGACAGGTGCTAGATGAGCAGAGAAGCAAGGAGGGGAGTGAGACAATGTCAATCTTTATATTACTTCATTTTAAAATATCTTCTGTTTTTAGTTCATTTGAGTTGGATTAAAAAAGCTGAAAAATAAACAGACAAAAATGTTACAAAAGTAGCTGATACGGTGAATGGCCAGTTTAGAAAAGTCTACTTTTATTATAGTGATAAAAATCTGCTCCGCTTTTCACATGCGCCTCATTCCCTAAGAAGCAGAAGCCCCTATAATCTTCTCATTTTTATACGCTTATATTTTAATACTTTTGTATTAAAATAAAGCAATCCATATAAAGAGCATGTTTTAGCAAAGAAAACATCTACTTCCAATTAAGATGGCAAGTTTTTCATGCTGCAACACAAACTCTTTAAAACAACAAATAGCCAAAGTATATATTAAAATCTGTGCATGATGCCTATAAGAGCCAAAACAGACAAGTAGAAGGTGTATTCTAGCCTATTAAATCTTAAAAGTATAACTGTATAAAACTGTAATAGCATGCAAGGTGGTCTAAAATTTCTATCCACACCCAAAATTCAACAGCATTACCTTAGCTTCTGTCATCTTAGTGACATAAGGAGATGGTCAGTAACAGTCTGAAAACTAAAATTATCTAGAAACAACTCACATAACATAAAAATGTAAACTGAAAATGCTAAATATTTAATCTACTTTATCATCTGTTAAACCATTTTCTATAGCTTTCTTCACTATACAAAGAGGTTATCAAATTTTTCTTCCCTGTGCCTATAAAACATATGCCAAATCTATTTTGAAATTTTAAATTCTATTTACTATGTATAATTGCTTTTAAATATAGGCTGATCAAATAAGGGAATAAGAACCACACATAACTTGTCCTTGAACGAATCCTGCACCTTCCCACTTTCATGTCCTACTCCCCACTTTCCATTCTATCTAGGGTGCCCAGTCATTGTTGGGTAGAAGGAATGTTACCAGCCTGGGAAAATCTGAGAATATTTTATGGAGGAAAAGACCTTGAACTAATTAAGCTTTGATTAATTTTCCTGGAAGAATATAAGCTTGCTACAGACAAGGAACATGATTGTACATTAGTCCCTTCTTATGCACAGTTTCAGTTACCTGTGGTACAGTACTATAAAATATTCTGAAGTGGCAGGAAGGGAAGGGAAAGAAATACCATATTCACATAACTTTTATTACAGTATATGGTTGTAATTTTTCTATTTTATTATGAGTTATTGTTGTTAACCTCTGACTCTGTGTAACCTATAAATTATGCTCTGTCAGAGGCACGTATGCACAGACGATCCTCAATTTATGATAGGGCTACATCCTGATAAACCCATCATAAGTTGAAAACACTGTAAGTCAAAAATGTGTAACTGACTAGGAGCTGCAGATTACTGCAACTGCCCAGCATCATGAGAGAAGAACAGTTTCTACATTGACTGTGTATCGATTATGCACCATTGTAAAGTAGAACTAGCATTAAGTTGTAGACCATACAGGAAAAAAACATAATATATATAGGGTTTGGTACTGTACACTATTTCCGGCATCCTCTGGTTATCTAGGAACATATCCACCACAGATAAGGAGGAACAAAACATACCATCCCACACATCTATTATTTCCTTCAATAAAAAGCAAACTCTTCTGAAGGAAGAAGATAGCAGGAAAAAACAAAAGCAAAAAACTAAACTCATTTGTAATTTTTAATAAACAATTCTATCTACACAGGACTAAACTGGCCACTTTCAGTTAAATATGAACCCTCTAATTTTTTTACGACATTGAATTTGATGATTGCATAATATAAAAAAAACAATGGAATACTAGCTTACTTTTGAGGAATAACCCTACAAGACAATGGATGACTACATAACAAATCTCATTCAGAAATATTCCAAGGAAATGTAACATAATATACATAAGAAAGTCACTCAACCAATTAAAATTTATCAAACATTAAAAGCAAAGAGATAAGTCCAGAACACCAACAAGGGAGTCTATTATGGTATTCAAATTATTCTCTCAGGGAATCTGGGAGGTCAAAGCTATTTTCATAACAATGATAAACTGTTATTTGCCTTTTTAACTCTCATTCTCTTACAAGTGCACAGGAGAGTTTTCCAGAGGTGTGACACCATAGCTGATTGAATGCAGAAACAGATTCGAGAATGAGAGGACTGTCAGGCTAGACAGTAAAGAAACTCATAAAATTTTAAAACAATGCTTCTCTTCTTAAATTGTTTTTTCTTTTGGAAAAAATGCTTATTTTTAATTTTAAAATGTTATTTGTATTAACATGTAATGGGTTCATTACTTGCAGATAAATATTTTTTAAATTTCCCAGTTTTATCTTTTAGTATGCTAAGTATTAGATAAATAAATTCCAAATAAACAAAAGTTCTTCTTGGTCCTCAAACATATTTTGTAGTATACAGGAGTCCTGAGACCAAAAAGTTTTGAGAACTGCTGCTCTGCATTTAAATAAGGTAAAAAGAAGTTATATGAATAAACAGCTATTATAAAACAAACACAAATAGTCTCAAGCAAGAAAAGGCTACTTAACACCTTTGCTATCCTAAAGACAGCTTCATAAAAGGTAGTTTGACAGTCAAAAAAGAATAAAGACTAGGACAGAAGGGGTGAGAAGGGGATATTAAAAACAATGACATGAAGACAGACACTTAGATGTACAATTATTACTACAAATTAGAAAAACTATAACTAAATGGCAGGCTGACAAGAAAATGGACAAGATAGAAACGTAGTTACTATAGAAAAATGGAAATCAAATAGCATAACTGAGGTGAGAAACAGGAAACTAGAGCCAAATTAATGGTATGAGGCAATAATAGGACTTACAGTAATAGATCTTATGAAAGAACTAAGCTTAAGAACAACACAAGGACTAGTTCAAGCCAAGTCCAATGGCATTTAATTCAAATGGGCAAAGCAGCAAAGCAGGCAGCCAAAATGTCTTTGTTGCTCACACATTTCGAAGTAAAACATTTCGTAACATAAAAATGTAGATGTTTAATCTCTGCTTTTTCTGACTTGTCATTATACATATGTGAAACATCTAAACATGACAGGTCTAAGTACTTAATTATCCCTACAGCTCCCAAAATTTATTTATGCTATGAGACAGGAAGATAGTAGTTTGAAAACGACCAGTTAAAATATCTATTGTCAAGGTATTCAATTTTGTAAACACAGCATACAATTTTGTAAGATCCACTGTAATGCAATTTAATGAATTTTTCTGTAATTGAATATGTTCTACATCTCCAACTCCCCAAAGAGGGGTCTGCTAGGAGTCTCTCCCCTCCAGTAATTGGCAGCCCTAGGTAAAGTCTTTGTCTCTTACAACTACCTCAAGTCCTAGACTGCCTGCCAGATGCAATCACTGGAAACATATACATCTTCTGTGCTGCCACACATTTCAACTGTATATATAGCAACTGGGGCTCAGTACTGATAAAGCTCTCAGCGGCACATCTATGATATGTAGTTGTACATTTAACAGCCACCCTTGGGAACTGTTACCAATTAGAAGTTATTCCAGTAACATACGAAAGGGATCAGTCTTCATTCCTAAAAGTCTCTTATATCTAATAAATCTTTATAAACCTTAGGGTAGTGTCCTTTAAAAAAAAGTATACCCCTCACAACAAAGATGTATAGAAATATGAGAAAACCTGCCGTTCACTGTAAACTTATTTGCTGAAATATGCTTTCAGCACATAAACATGGATTGGAAGGTTAACATGTCAATGTATTAAAACTGAGTCCATTCTTTTTAAATAAAATTACTCAAGTCATTTTAAATATGTTTTAATCAGAAACAATGCTAAATAAAATCTTAGTATCAGCAAAGTTCTTAAGAATTTCACTACTCCTTCCAAATAATGATTTAACTTACTTCTACTTTTTCATTATTCCTAACCACTTTCTATAACCAAACTGTTATTTTTACTCTTATTGAGATGTCTTCAGTTAAGATTTATCACTTTTATTAGATTCCTTTTAGAGATCTAAAAATGTTCTAACTTACTGTTCTAGTTTAACCTTATAAAATTTCATGACATGAAAGGATTTTTGATCTTTATGGTTAAAAAATGATTATTGAAATATGTAAAATTATTCCTTCAAAGTTATACTTTTACTTTCTCTAAATGTCATTTACACAAACTTACTCGTTTGAAGTCATTCATATTTGTTGCCTGGACTGGAGTACCAATAAAAGTAAAATATGAAATTCTTGTTGTTTCTTCTTCACCTTGATTGGACTGAACAAATATCTACCGAAAAAAAATTTTTACATTTATTATCACAATCCTTCTTTTATAAGCATGCTTTAATTTAATCAATTTCTTCATATTATTAATAAAAATACCCTCCATTCATCTAAGGATTAATCTAAATCAGGCGTCCTCAAACTACGGCCCACGGGCCACATGCCACCCACCTAGGACATTTATCCTGCCTGTCGAGTGTTTTTGCTGCTGCTGCCTGTCCTGCTTAGCAGCCTACTCTTCGCGGGCCCACAGTGCACACTCTCCAATGGTCTGAGGGACAGTGAACTGGCCCCGTTTAAAAAGTTTGAGGACCCCTGATCTAAATTATATAACATTTAGACTAGTATTCCTATAGGACTTAATTCTACTGTTTGCCCTGCTATTCTCACCTTCTCCAGGGATGTCATGGCAAGATACCCATTTTTATAAGTTCATGATAATTTAGCCTGGTATGGAGGAGTCATAATTAAATTCTTTACAGAGAATGCTGAAAGAGTATGAGCTTCATGATTACAATGGGACAGACTGCTGTTGGAAATTTTATTAAAAATCACAGTTTTGCACTGAGGAAAATCTCTGCAGTTATATTCTTTCTGATATACATGCATCCATTCTATTTCCTAGAATATTAAGAGAAAAAATAGTATTGGAAATCAGCGCCTAAACTATATGCACTATGCTTTCCATATTTTTTTACACTTGACTCTTTATATTTTCTATTTAGAAACTCCACTCAGCATGTTAAGAGAGAAAAACTTTACTCATAGATCCTTTTTCAATATATTGGATTTTAAAAATTTGTTCCATTTCTAAAAATAAAATATTCTAGATGTCATCTACTTTAAAATATTGCCCCTCTTTCTAACTCTCCCTCTCTTTTTAAGAGCTGAGGTCTTGCTATGTCACCTACACTGGCCTCAAACTCATGGGCTCAAATACTCCCACCTCAGCCTCCTAAGTAGTTGAGGCCATAGGTACATGCCACTGTGACCAGCTAAAATACTGCCTTTCTTGATTTAAACAACATATTTCTTTCATTCTGAGATGGTACTCACTGGTCAACTTTTGTTGTTTTCACAGACAACCATAAATTTATTTCAAACTGAAATTATCAACAATTTTAAAAGTCTATAATAAATAGACTATAAAAAAAACAGCTCTCGGTTTATTTGGAATGTATTTGTGCCTTTTTTTTTTTTTTCTTTTTTTTGAGACAGAGTCTTGTATCTTTCTCTGTTGTTCAGGCTAGAGTGCTTTGATGGCGTCAGCCTAGCTTACAGCAACCTCAAACTCCTGGGCTCAAGCAATCCTCCTGCCTCAGCCTCCCAAGGAACTGGGACTACAGGCGTGCACCCCAACGCCCCACTAACTTTTTCTATTTTTAGTAGAGATGGGGTCTCGTGCTTGCTCAGGCTGGTCTCGAACTCCTGACCTCAAGTGATCCTCCTGCCTCGGCCTCCCAGAGTGCTAGGATTATAGGTGCGAGCCACCGCGCCCGGCCTGTATTTGCTCTTTGAATGCAAGCACAACAGTTTATATTCATGGCTCTTAAAATTCATCCATCCGCTTTGATTAGACTCTGATTAAAACGTCACTGTAAGTCTAATTTTATAACCAAAAAAGGTGAAAGGCATGCCTTCTATGTCATTGACTAAACTTTTGATTAAGAAAGGACATAATATTATTACATAAAAACTTGAGCCTATCATATCACAAGATAAAATATCTTTGGTGATTCCCAATGACAGAGATTACATTAGGATATCTAGGTTAAAAGGCTTTTGTCCAAAAAGCAAATACATTCCTTCCCATCAAAGAGTAAAACATAAGGTATTATTAATTGGGGATATGTTATAAATATGAGTAAGGTCAGAAAAATATTTGATAACCTGTGTTCTAAGTTTAATATAACCATTTTTCTTCAATTGCATTTGGGTAGGATATTTCAAATACTTAAAACTCAACTTGATTATAATTCTTCATACTACTACGAAATATATTCTGTAAAACTCCATTAAAAACCATCTAAAATAAACACATACTTTACAAGACCTATAAAGCTTAGAAAAAAAAATAAAAAAAATAAAATAAACACATACTACAGCATTCTTCTGATTTACAAAAATATAGCCATTCAATTAAACAGATTATATCAGTTTGGCATGACTTGTACTCAGTGATTGTGTGCTGGGGTTCCTACTTTCTTATTCAAGGAACTCTGCTATTCTTTTTTTTTTTTTTTTTTCAGGCTAGAGTGAGTGCCATGGCATCAGCCTAGCTCACAGCAACCTCAAACTCCTGGGCTCAAGCAATCCTTCTGCCTCAGCCTCCCGAGTAGCCAGACTACAGGCATGCACCACCATGCCTAATTTTTTTCTATATATTTTTAGTTGGCCAATTAATTTCTTTCTTTCTTTTTTTTTTTTCTTTAGCTGGTTTTGAACTCCTGACCTTGAGTGATCTTCCTGCCTCGGCCTCCCAGAATGCTAGGATTACAGGCGTGAGCCACTGTGCCTGGCCCCTCTGCTATTCTTTTCCAACCCTCTAACTTCCTCCTCTGAACAACTAGGGGAGAAGTGATATTTCATTTTTAAGTAACATTTAAAATATATCACTTAAAATCATCTCAGGCACTATTCAATAATCAGATATATCTTAGGTCATTTTATAAAATATAAGACTATCTATTTAAGAAGTCATTTTTAAGCTGAGCATGGTGGTGTATGCCTGTAGTCCCACCTATTCAGGAGGCTAAGCGGAGAGGATCACTGGAGCCTAGGAGGCCAAGTCCAACTTGGGCAATACGGTGAGACCCCATCTCTAAAAAATAAAATAAAATAAAAAGTCATTTTTACTGAGACCATGACTGCCACACTATTAAAAACTCTATATTCTAGAAAAGTAAACTGGATTTTACAAATGTATCATTACTCATCATCAGGTTTAAAGGATAAAGCATATTTATCTTCGGTTTAACTATAAATGTTCTAGAATAAACTTAACAAAAGTTGCAATATATGTAAATAAAATAAACTGAAAAAACCCACAAATATTTAAAAATAAACCTGTCCTTCCTCTCTAGGGTAAACAGATAAACTAAAAAGAAGAAAATTTAATTAGCCCATCACACATTTTTACTTATGTCAAATTGAGTAGACAAATACCATTTTAAAGAAACATTTAGAATCACCTAATATACCAAAAATAGCATTGTTACCCGCAAACCTGTTAAATATATTTGAATGAAATACTACTTACAGTTACACTGTTAACATTCTGAAACTTAACATAACGAAGTGGAACAATGCCATCTTCTTTAATATCATCCTCTGTCAGTTCCAGAGCTTGAGTTGGTTCACTTCTTTCTGCCTCTTCAAAATCCATAGATCGGGGTAGGTTGATAAAAATTTTTACATATTTAGGACCCTGACCTATAAAATGGTAGAACAAAAGGAAATGCTTAAAAATCTCAAACACACTATACTTTCTTCCCGGTATCATTACACTCACACTATACACACAGACACACACATAAGCACAGGCTCACACACTCACACGCACACACTCACACACACACACACACACTACACACAGACACACACATAAGCACATATCTACACCTTGTACACCTTCACCATCAGGACTTAAAAGAAAGTCTGAGAATTTTGGTAGCCAATCTTTTTGTTTTAAAGTCTGAAAACTTTGGTAGTCAATCTTTTTGTTTTTTTCCCAATATACATTTACTGATACCCTCTTGGCCTTGTCAGAACTACACTAAATATTATGGCTAAGATATTAAAACACATACGTATGCACACATACAAAGTCCCTGCCTGCTCTCACCTACAAAGACATACTATGATAAATGTAATACCACCAGTGAGGAGATATAAGCAAAGTGACAATCGAGTCTGTTAGTATATAACAGGTTAACAAAAAGTTTCATAAAAGAAATAGCATTTGAGCTAGGTCTTACAGTTGCCAATAGCTGGTACATTTTGTTATTTAGGAAGAAAGCATCATCAGTGACATTCTGCCAACAGGAAATTAATAATAAAAATTGTCAGATTTCACCTTCAGGATCATATTAGGATCCACTCAGTGGGAGGACCACATGCACAGAATGTCTTAATTCCCTTAACGTCAAGGCACAATTTAAAACCCACATTCTGGCTGGGCGTGGTAGCTCACACCTGTAATCCTAGCACTTTGGGAGGCTGAGGTAGGAGGATCGCTCAATGTCAGGAGTTCAAAACCAGCCTGAGCAAGAGAGAAACCCCGTCTCTACTAAAAATAGAAACAAATTAATTGGCCAACTAAAAATACATTGAGAAAAAATTAGCCAAGCATGCTAGCGCATGTCTGTAAGTCCCAGCTACTCGGGAGGCTGATGCAGAAGGATTGCTTGAGCCCAAGAGTTTGAGATTGCTGTGAGCTAGGCTGATGCCACAGCACTCTAGCCTGGGCAACAGAGTAAGACCCTGTCTCTAAAAGAATAAATAAATCCCATATTTTATTGTTAAGTTATATTAGACTCATTTCTACAGCATTTGCTTATTATATACTTTGTATTTTCAGAAAAGTATAGTTTTATTAATAAAAAAAATTATTAACATGAAAATTTAGAGTAACAAATGATAAGGAAATGCTATCTGATAAATAAGGACTTGGCTGTACCACCCCAAGAATTAGAACTCTAGGCCCCATTCCCTTACTCTCCTCCCATCAAAAAAACATAGGAGAAACACAAAAAAAGGGAGAGTACATAATAAGGAAAATACTTTACAGAAGGAGAAATTCTAAGTCTGTACAATTATGTTTATATGCACAGATACAAAGATAATGATACTATTAATAGAGCATAAATAGGAGGATTTGGAGCCTCAGTTTTATCATTTATAAATAGGATGGGTTTGAAATAAATGTCTCTCAGTTTTAATTCTAAAAAATGGCTGCTTAGAACCCAGAGTTTTAGAGTAATAGTTGGAAGAAAGGATTCAGCAATTTTTAGATTAAGAGGAAACAATCAAATTTTAAAATAAGAAAGTTTAGAAATGAAATAAAGTTCCCTTTTTCTTGCTTTACATATTTCCCGGAAAAAAACATTCCCTTTCTTGTTTTCAGTATCTAATAGTCTCATATTATTTATCCATTAATTTACCCTCTGTGCTTTGTTCCAATAACAATTTCACTCTTTCCCAAAACAAGGAATATCTACCTCTATTTAATAAAAAGTTTTAAATATATGCTACTAGTTCTACAAACCAGGAAGTTAGTTTAAAGAAGAGTTATCCTTTACTCACCATTATCTGGCCCTTGAAACTTCATGGAATAAAGCTTAACAGGTTGATTAAATGCCACAGTAATAAGTAGCTGGGGAGAAAATAGTATCATTTAAAAAGGGCTCTTGAACACCTCGAATACATAAACCACCAAAGCACAACTAAAACAAAGGCAAAAAAAAAAAAATCTAATCCATGCAACAAAACCAATGTGATATGGAAAATCAGTAACTTGAAAGTACTGGTTAAATCGACATTTGAGAAATATCACCACCAATTGTTTATATAAGGGGAAAGCAAAAAAAAATTTAATGGAGTAAAAATTAAAACTACACATAAGAATCTAAGGTCTTGTGACCTATAAAATGGAAAGCAACCTACTTTCTAACAAATCAAACAAAATTCCCCAATTAAAATAAAATTTAAACCACATATTTTAGCATATAGCTCACATTTCCTAAGATGGATTGTCAAGTATCTAGGCACATCACTCAACAATGTAGAAGCAAGGCACAAGTTATACAAAGATATTAGCCCTAAAATGGACTCTGATCCAAAATTCAAAAGAATAGGAAGACTCTTACAGCTCTACAATAACCTCCAAAACTCCATCCTACACTTATTTGATTAACTGAATCTAGAAGGCCACAAAATGGGACTGGGATACAAAACACTGTTATTCAGAATGCCTATCTTTCGGAAACCGAGTTATTCGCTTGATCTTCTTTCTAGCCAAAATTGAATTTGAGGTAAGTACCTACGCTTCTACCCTGGAAGGAAGATTTCCCTGGCAGGAAAATGTCAGGGAGGCTGTAGCCAGTCCTGCTGACATGCATCATCACATTATTTTTAGGGCCCTATTTATAAGGAATGCAATGTGAATGATATTCTCAAAGCTGTACAATAAGGCAACTCTGGTTAGAGCAAAGAAAGAGAATGTCAAAAAATAACAGGCATGATGTTTAGGGAACTGAACCACAAGTGAAGAGCAGGAGATGAGACTGGAAAGCTAGAAACAGATCAAGTCACCCTCTTCTTGAAGCCAGTAAAGAATCATTTCACTCTCTTAAGAAAGAGAAACATTCAAACTTATATTTTAGAAATATAACTTTTGTGATCATGTAGAAGATAAACCAAACAGAGTCAAATCAGAGACAATGAAATAGAAAGTAAATTATGGGAAATTACAGCCAACATGAAGATAAAGATGGCTTAATTAATGAGGTAACAACCTACTTCCACTGTGTCAAGGGCAATGCAGGGAAGCATAAGAACACAACACAGGTTTATATCTGGGGGCAAAGAGCCCCCATGCAGGGAATGATCATCTACTTAGTTTCTATTTCTTAGACATAAATTTATCTGGTGGGGAAAAAAGTATGGAAGCCAGGTCAAGGATGAACAAAAGGATCTCAACTCAGCAGTGGAGCCAATCCAAGAGTTCTGCAATTTTCCTTAGCACGCTTCGCAGCCCACACAGAAGAACAGAGAAAAGAGGTGGATATGTATATCTAAAGGATAGGAGTCAAAGAAACTGAAAGCTATAAAAAGAAAAGGAAGAAGTGATCATTGGGGAAGCAGAAACATAAACCATGAGATGGGAACGAGAAAAAGAAATAAGAGCAGGCATAAATAGTGATAGTCCCTACACACTTGAACTTAAGCATTCAATTACCTGTTCATCACAGTCAGATTCCAAAAAGCTCATGTCTTTTCGTAAACAGTTGTCAAATCCATGCTCATCACTTTCATTAAGACATTCACAACCAGCTTTGTTAATAAAAGGCATTAAATCCATCTGAGGAAAATTAAATCAAAATTTCAGGCAAAGCATTTGGAATTGGTACAAAAATGCTAATAAAAAATGTAAATCTGTAATCCTCTCTAAATTAGGCAATTTTAAAGAAAACTTCTTTTAAAATAGTTCCTAAAACTTTTGTAATAGTCCTTTCATTTGACTTTCTGAACATCCACCACTAATTATTAAAGCCAAATCTAGTCTTGGCCTACTTGATAAGGTATCAAAAACAAGTCTGTAATAGTATAAAATGTTGACATATATATTTATAGCAGTGTTTTACAAAAGAAAATATGCAAATTAAAGTATCTATAAGATCCAAAGGAGTGCTATTTCCCTCTTCCGGCAGCCATGGACTCCTTAAACCTATAACCATGAAGAGGTTAGATTTAACATGAGTAACAAATAGGAACTCAAAATTTTTTAATTATGAAAAATTTTAAACATACATAAATAGAATAATGTAGTGACCCCCATATACCCACCACCCCCAGCTAAAATCATTATTAACTCATGGCCAATCTTGTTTCACCTTTACCCAAACATATCCTAACCCTCCTAATTATTCTGAAGTACGTCTTAGATATCTTTTCATTTCATTCTTGAACATTTCAGTTTGAGTTTCTAAGACCTAAGAATTTTCTTAAAAAAGAAAACATCCTAAATATCATTATCAAAACTAAAACAATAACACTGTAATACCATTAAATATCAGTGTTCAAATTTCCTTAACTGTCTCATGTTTTAGACTTGTAATGGTAGTATAAAGATTCCCAAAAAGCATACAAGTTTATGACTAATACATCTCTTAAATCTTTTAATCTATAGTCATTTAAGCTTGTAGATTTCTTAATAATTTGGCTTATACTTCCAATACAATGTCAAAGAGTTGTGGTTGGTGTTGGTGGTCATGCCTATCTTGTTTCTGACTTTAGTGGAAATGCCTATAGTGTCTCTACTAAGATTTAATTGAATGCTTTAGGAGTAAATGGGTGCTGAATTTTGTGAAATGCCTTTTCTGCATATTTGGTGATCATGATTTTTCTCCTTAGCAATACTAATGTGACAGATTTTTAAGTGAACTTTCTAACATTAATCTGGCCCCAGACAAATCAAGAGTTTTAATACAAAAGCATGTGTAAAATCAACAATTGCATAGCCTCTGGGTGTTAAAAAAATGACTGAAACTATTTATTCCAAGAAATCTACAATTTTATAAAAGGTTGTCAATATATTTCTGCAATGCTTATAGTTAAATCTACTTAAACGTTTTCATCAAGTCACTCTTACACCCATCAGGCTTCTATTTGTGTTCTAAGAACAATGATATTCTTGGGAACACATTACCAGTTTTAAATACTTAGTAATGCTATAACATATAAATAGTTCTAAACTTTAATGTTTTGATGGACACCAGATGGAAAAAAATGAAAATGTTTTTATAATAGCTTTTCATATTTTACTCATAGCATTTGCATGAAAGCTAAATTTTTATTTCTTAAAACTTCACATTTTCCAGCTTGTTTCCTACCTGAGGCCAAAACATTAATATCATACTTAGTGGATATATAAAGTATCCCTGTAGCTAAGCTTCAAGACTGCTGTGCTCGTAACACATTTTCTTGCAAACACCCTTAGTAATAAAGAAAAAAAATACAAAGATGTAAACCCAATAGTTTACATGCTAAATGATTTCCAAAATTTTCCAAAAGGTGTCACAACCCTGACTTAAACAACATGGTCCATTCTTTCTAATTGGATTTAACAACTTCTAATTACAGGTCTATTTTAAATAAATACTAATTGTACTTCCCTAACTTAAAATAATTAATGCCAGTATCACATTATGACACTTTTTGACATCCCACCCCCTACACACAAAAAGAATCTCTTATATTAACTATACTGTCATTTCTCTTTATTCAGCATGAATTTAAAGGACTTACAGAAAGGATTTGTAGCCCTAGGACATAGATTTGCTTAAATATACTTGATATATATTGTTTAACATATTAGCTTTAATGTGAGGTAAGATTTTTAAAAAATTCTTTCATCTGCCAGTGCAATAACTTTTTAACCAGAAAAATTAAGAAACATGTATCTTTTAATATCTGGGATTTACCAATTTGTGTAAACAAATCTGCTAACATGAAATACTACTGAATTTTGCTTCCTTCCTGAATAGTTCTCAAATGATAAAGATGCTGCATTATAACTATTCATACTATGTAGTTTTCAAACTCTATTCTTTAAGTTCTTAAGTCTTTAGGTTATTATTTACAATAATAAGTTACTCTTAAAACTTAGGATAGCACATGTGACACTAAAGTCCCATCTGATTGTAAAAAAACAAAATCAATAATTAAACTTTTTTTCAGAAAAGAGGGATACATTTAAAAAGATAAGAGAAAACTATAGGAAGTGAGTGGCAGCAAAGGGAGTTCAGTACATAATAGTCGTAACTAAAATTTACAAATTAGGCTGGGCGTGGTGGCTCATGCACGTAATCCAAGCATTTTGGGAGGCTGAGGCGAGAGGACCTCTTGAGCCAAGGAGTTCAAGACCAACCTGGGCAACATAGCAAGACCCCATCTCTACAAAAAATTTTTTAAAAAAATAGCCAGGCATGGTGGCACAAGCCTATAGTCCTTGTTACTCGGTAGGCTGGGCAAGAAGATTGTTTGAGCCCAAGAGTGAGCTATGAACTTGCCATTGCACTCCAGCCTGGGCAATAGAGCAAGACTCTGTCTCAAGAAAATAAATAAAATTTAAAAGTCATTTTACATAATTATCAAAAAGTATAAAATGCACATTTCTTTACTTTTTATGAGAAAAGTATAAAAGAAGCATATTAAAAATGGCTATCTAAATAGTTCAAAAAGCAGATAAAAAACAAATGGCAAAGAAAATTAGTAGGAAAAATTTAGGAAAAAATGGGTTATATTATGATTTATACACACACAGACAACCAAACTCAACAGTCAGCTAATAAATTTAGTTTGAAAGTTCGTATTTGAAAGCATTCTGAACTAATAAGAGATACAACATGAAAACACAGTCAATTTCATTTTAAGCAAATAATGACAGGTATGAGATATATTATATCATGATTTCACTTTTCAGTCTACATACATAGCCTTTTGGAATATCTGTGTCCTCATTGCTTCCAGGGTCATTTTCTAAGTGCTGCTTGATTTTTTCTTCTAATCCCACAGCATCTGCTCCTTGATACTGATCAATTCTTACTTTGTTTCGGAAAAACAAAAACGTAGGTGTTGCTGATATATTATTGGTGGCAGCTGTTCCCTAGAATTGGCAAGTTAGACAGTATTATGAATTAAATCTTAAACCACTCTGAATATTCATTCTACACCTTTATGGAAGTTAAATATTGCAAGCATGAACTAAATCCATAAAATACTGTATTCTCAATTGTTAAGAAAAAGCAGGCCTATTCCTAAGAGACTTCCTATTGAGGCATAGATATATTATTACCTTTATACCCACAATGAATATCCCCTACATTTTTATCAGTTTTACTAGTAAATACTTCATCTCATATAACAATTAGCTTCCAATACAGAAACTGTGCTTTATACCAGACAGCTCTCTCACAAGTACAGAGTATTTCTCATGAGTAACCAAGAAAGGTATTGGTAAGTCAACACAAACCACTGCAATTAGGAAAAAGCATACCTCTGAAAAACAGTAGCCAGTTTGCCAGTGAAAAGTAAGTAGTATTTTCTGCACTGCAACCCTCAGTCAATTTTTACTCTTCCAGAAATAACACCTGGTCACCCATCAAATTCTGTCCTAGCTCCACAACTTAAGACTAACTACTGAATGGAAATTACCTAATAACCACTGAACATTCTGGTTTAAACTTTTCATGATAAGTATAAACAATAAATAAACGTGTCACCTTACATATTCATATACTATGAAAAGGTACCACTATCTTGTTTAAAGAATGTAAAGATAACAAAGGAATGTCTTCTCTAAGCCTCATAATTGAAAAAACTATGACTGACCTTTTAGAAAAGTGTTATCCAAAAGAAATATAATGTAAGACACATGTGAGCTACATATGCAATTTTAAATTTTCTAGTATTTGGCCTAGCATGGTGATTCACACCTATAATCCCAACACTTTGGGAGGTTGAGACAGAAGGACTGCTTGAGCCTAGGAGTTTGAGAACGGCCTGGGCAACAAATAAGACCCAATCTCTAAAAAAAATTTTAAAAATTAGCCAGGTATGGTGGAACATGCCTATAGTTCTGGCTACTTGGGAAGCTGAGGCAGGAGGATTGCTTGAGCCCAGGAGAGTTCGAGGTTGCAGTGAGCTATAATGATGCCACTGCATTCTACCCCAGCCAACAGAGCAACACACTGTCTCACACACACTCCTCTCCTAAAAAAAAAAAAAAAAGTTTCTAGTAAAAGGAAATGATTAAAATCAATTTTAGTAATACTAATGAACCTAATACATGCATTTTCAACATAACCAACATAGAAAGATAATGTATTATTTTACATTTTTTTCTTTCAGATTAAGTCCTTAAAATCTGATGTGCATTTTATACTTTCAGCCTATCTCAATTTGGATTTGACACATTTACAGTGCTCAGTGACCACATGTAGCTTATTGGCTACCATACCAGCCAGCAAAGCTACAGAAGAAAAGCATTTTCAGATAAGATAGTGAATATTTAAAATAAGGGCTAGCGATGCAGTCCAATAACATGTGACATAAGTACTGAAACATAAACATGTAATGAAGGGTTTACACCAAATCACCAAACTACTAACAAACTACATAATAGTTTAAAATTTTTTTCCACATTCAGAAATGTAACAAAGATCACATTTCTACATACAAAAATACAAAACTGTCACATACCATTCCACCTAAGTAATCTGGGCAATTTACCTACAATAGTGTGGCTAATCAACATTTTAAAGTTTCTGCTCAGCTGGGTGCAGTGGCTCACGCCTTAATCCTAGCACTCTGGGAGACAGAGGAGGGCGGATTGCTCAAGGTCAGTAGTTCGAAACCAGCCTGAGCAAGAGCCAGACCCTATCTCTACTAAAAATAGAAACAAATTAATTGGCCAACTAATATAAATATAGAAAAAATTAGCTGGGCATGGTGGCACATGCCTGTAGTCCCAGCTACTTGGGAGGCTGAGGCAGGAGGAATGCTTGAATCCAGGAGTTTGAGGTTGCTGTAAGCTAGGCTGATGACACAGCACTCACTCTAGCCTGGGCAACAAAGTGAGACTGTCTCAAAAATAAACAAATAAATAAGTAAAGGTTCTGCTCAGTATGCCACTTTGGAGGTAAGATTATAAACAATCAATTCAAATCACACTATCACCAAGAATCCCTTGCCATGGCTTTATAATCAGCCAATCCCTCAGTAATATAAGACATAATTCTAGATTTGCAAAAGATAAACAAAGAAAACACAGAACTGCCAGGTGACCTACTAGTTTAAACATATTAATTTTATATCAGAGGGATATTAATACAAACCTGAAGCAATTAATAACGTGCTACGCTTAACTAATGTAGCCATAATGACATCTGTAATAATCATGTCAACATAACATATTCCTATCCTCAAAGGAATAAATACTATGTGCATAAAGACATAAATGAAGGATATTAATGTTAGATTTCAAAGTGATTTCAACGTAAATTAAAAAGAAAAAAAGGACTCCTCTCCCTTACCTGACACTGATGTACATCTACTTCCAAGAAAACAGCCTGTGGATATTTATTACTCATAGAATTGAATGCTGGGGCAATCCTCAAACATGGTCCACACCTGTGAGAATGAGAAACAAGACATTAAGGAAAATAACACCAAAGATTACACTAATTTATACTCTAAAACATTTTTCAATTAAAACATAAAACACACACTGATACTCCTGGCTTTCAATTGTCCAGTCTTTACCACTGGATTATTTACATACACTTGTATCAATACCACACTGCATTAATAAGTAAACATATTATTAATATATTAAGTCAGACTGGGCACAGTAGCTCACACCTGTAATCCTAGCACTCTGGGATGTTGAGGCAGGAGGATTGATTGAGACCAGGAGGCAGGGGTCCTCAAACTTTTTAAACAGGGGGCCAGTTCACTGTCCCTCAGACCGTTGGAGGGCCCTTGGAGAGTGCGGCGCACATTCCACACATAAGCACTGTGGGCCCCGGACAAGTTGGCTGCTAAGCAGGACAGGCAGTGGTGGCAAAAACACCTGGCGTGGCAGCAAAAACACCTGGTGGGCCGGATAAATGTCCTTGGCAGATTGCACGTGGCATACGGGCCGTAGTTTGTGGACCCCTGAGTTTGAGGCTGCAGTGACCTATGTTGCACTCTACCTAGGGTGACAGAGTGATACTCTGGGCCCCCCCCAAAAAAAATAGTGAAAAATATATAATTTTAATTATATATAATTTGTATATGTTATATATATAACTTATATATATATAAAGTCTTCATGTCTGATAGTGTTAAGTCCAGCCTTGTTCTCACTGAGAGAAATAAAAGAAAACCTAAACAAATGGCAGGAATATACTATGCCTACAAATTAGAAAACTAAGTGTTGCCAAGCTATCAATTCTCACTTTGATCTTTAACATGGATATAAAATCCCAGCAGGTTTTATTGTATAAAGTTACAAATTTAAATTCTAAAATGAATAGGGAAATACCAAGGAGAGCCCAAGCCATTTTGAGAATCAAAGCTGAAGAAAATACGTTACCAGATATTAAGAACTATTACAAAACTTTATTAATTAGGAGTATACAGTACTGGTACAAGGACAGACAAACTTATGTAAAAAGAACAGTCCAGAAACAGCCCCACCCCACAGACAGTATGCTGATTTATGAAAAACTTGACAAAGCAGTGCAGTGAGGAAAGGACAGTCTTTTCAATAACTAGTGCTGGATCAAATGGATGGTTATATGTGAAAAAAAATGAATCTTGACCCCTACCGTATACCATACCAAAAAAACCCCAATTCCAGGTGGATTATAGAGCTAAATGTAAAAGGTAAAACAGTAAGGGTTTTAGGAAAAGATACAGAAGACACTTTTAAATACTTGAACTAAGCAAAAATTAAACAGAGCATGAAAAGCACTAAACCAAATAAAAAGGATTATCATATTAGAATATAGTTTATAAGCTAGAAGATATTAAAATCTTTTATTTGTCAAATAATGCCATAATAATTGAGAGTGGTCTCAAATAATTAAGAGAATGGTCAAAAAAAAAAAAAACATATCAAAGGATTTACACCTCTAATATGTAAAGAACTCCTAGAAATCAATAACAACACTGAGACCCAAAAGAAAAATGGATAAACTCTTTAATACATACTTGACAAATGAGGTTATCCAGTCAATAAATAAAACAAATAGTCAAAAACTTTCTATGAAGTAGAAAAGGCATTCTACTTCATTAGTCACTAAGGAACCAAGGAAGTGCAAATTAAAACCAACTCCACCAAAATAGTTACAATAAGAATGAAGTATTGTAAAGAATGTGGAGCAACGAAACTTTCATATACTATTAGTGACAAGTACATGCTGGCATAACCATTTGGGGGAAAAAAAAGGAACTGTGCTCAAGCTAGACCTATAAAAATTCCTGGGAGATACAGCCGACAGAAATGTTCAACTTAGGGCATTTGAAAAAATATTACTAGTAGTAATATTTCTAATAGTCCAAAACTAGAAATTAACCAAATCCTTATCAACAGAATGGGTAAATTATGGTCACTCATATAATAAAATTATATGTAAAATAAGAAAATTCAATGTAACATGTTTGTAATAGTAAAAAGTTAGAAATAATCTAAATGGCAATCAATGGAAAAATAGTTTTAAAAATTATAGCACATCCATACCAGCTGATAATTTGTAGTGTTTGGGAAAAGAAGTCTACTAATAAAATGTTCTACATGATCACATTTTAAAATTATGTATATATGTAAATGTATACTAAAAAGTTAGGCAGAGCTGAGCATGTAGTCTCAGCTACTTGGGAGGCTGAGGCCAAAGGATTACTTGAGCTCAAGAATTCAAGGTTGCACTGACCTATGATCACGCCAGTGAACAGCTACTGCACTCCAGCCTGGGCAACATGGCAAGATCACATCTCAGAAAACGGGGCTGTGGGGGTGGAGGTGGGAACCACACAGAAAAAAACAAACGAAAGAAAGTGTGGCAGGACATAAAAAACAGTTAACATTAATTACTTCTGCAAAGTGGGACTAGAAAAAGAAGAGAGCTTAGGGAAGACTTTTAAGTATCCTAATTCTGCATCCTTTGTCTTTTTATGATGGCAGGTTATTTTTATTTAAACATATTTAAATAGGTTGAGAGAATTTAACACTTACTGCATTTAAACAGGTGTCACAAATGACATAGGTATTTATGTTGTAATACAACATACCCACTCCTGAAAATCACACTTCTGGAAAAGCATACACTCCAAATAAGAGTATTTATGAGAAAAATAAGACTGAGGCAAACCACCTGAAACCAATGCAACTTTGTAAAAGGATCACTAAGGAAAAAAAAAAAAAGAACAGTAACTGGGACTCAGAAAATAGATGGACTTCAGATCTGGAGGCTACCTTAGGAGATATTTGAAATGAACAAAAACCATCAAGTGGAAATTATGCATACAGGTGTTCTGACAATGCAGACGGAAGTGGAGCTCTGAGCCAGTGGGGCTGTCATTAAGGTAGGGACAGGAGGAAATGCAATGGTGAAAATAAACACTTCTGGGGAACAAGTGCTAGGAGCTGGTGCTGATATTTAATTTTAATAAACTTTCTGAAAATAAACACAAAAGGGAATCCATCTGTGTGGCTGAGAGCTTTTCTCCTTTCAGTCAAAGGTTTTATTTCTATTTTTGATCTTCACTACCTAGGAAAATCACATATGAACCAACAAAACTTCCACATTATACTGACATCAACTCTCTATTCACAAATCACGAATGCATGAATTGATGTTAAAGAAACACATCTTGTAGCTGAACAGACTAAAATGACTACCTTGCAAATAACTGTTTCCTTTCAAGATATAACATTATCTAGATCCTTAGTTTAATTTTAGTTAGCCATTATAGGTTGGAACTTTAGTCAAAAGTCAAAATAAGTCATTGAGCAGAGAAGCACAAATATATACAGCAGCATATTTTCACAATACAATCATTCAAATAAATTGATGTTATTTAAATAAGACGTTTACTTTCCTTAACATTAACATTCAAGAGTAAACACATTTCCATTAGCTGAGATCATGAACAAGTCATCTGATTTCTCTGTATAAAATGAGGACTAGATTCTTCAAGGATCATTGCCAGCTGTAAAGTATTATGCACGTAGTATGCCTAAATTTCAGAATTATACTTTTTTGATTAGCAGCCCTTAAAACAATACAGGATTTTTGACCTTGTTGTAAATGAGTTCAGAGATCATCTAGTTCAGAAGTTTGGAAATGAACAGAAACCTACTCTGAACCTTCTCTTTGGCTGAAAGTTTATCTTTTCAGCCCAATATACAAAACAAATATGTAAGAAGGATTCTGACCCTCCACTTTTTGAGAGAAAGAGAATACAGCAGGCAAACCCTTAGCTTTCTACAATACATAAAGAACCAAACCCCCAAAACTAGAAGTTTAAAACTGATGTAACCTAACATAATTACTTGATAAGAATTGAAGAAAAAAAGTTAAATAACATGTCCAAGATAAAAAAAAAAAACCCTAGTTAGTGACAGGGCTACAACCAGAACAGTCAACTCCTAAAGATTTTTTTGAAAGCACTACATTAGGTTCTTATTAATAAATAAGATTTTTCTTTACAGTCATAATATAAATTCTATTTCATGAACTTCCTAACTGTTCCTCCCTATTTGCTACAGTAGCCAGTGTTCTACCTTGAGCAATACTTGTATAAACACATACAGCTGGTAAATGGATAAAGAAAAATGTATTTTCTAAAGCCATAGTTAAAAGTTATACCCTGCAGGTATAACTTTGAAATAAGCAATTTCAACAGTTCATTTCTCCATCAGCCAGGAAAGACATCCTGAGGTTGACATACCTATCAAGGACAGTAACTACCATGGCTTCCAGTGCTTTGATGAAACCTCAAATATGTAGCCTTCTGGATCATTTGTAGTATCCCTGGGGGATGCAGCTCTCTATAAGTTCACTGTGGCTGAACCAAGAAAGAAGACATGTGCAGATTTCTACAGAAATTATGATTCCATGAAAGATTTTGAGGAGATGAGGAAGACTGGTATCTTTCAGAGTGCCAAGTGATTCTGAAACATTAATACAAAGAATTTCTTTGGGTTGAATTACATAGAAGTTTGTCACTGACCTGTGTTCCTGAGCTATGAAACATGAATATGTGGGTTAAAGAATAGTTCCTCTTGATAACAAATAATTAACAAATACTGTGGGGAAAAAAAAAAACAAGTAATTTTGAATACTGTGTTTACTAATGGGCAGACATAATTATTAATATAACTGGTCCTATTACTTACATAAAATAGCTAGCATTCATTGGGCACCTACTACATGTTATGTATTCACGAAACCCTTAAACTCACATCACCCACCATATTTAAGCTTTATAACTTCCAAGAACAACTAAGTACTAAGTTAGAATTCGACCTACCAGTGATCTACACAGTGCCTTTCATTGTTATTTCTAAATTAATTACCAAGATTAAACTATTTATATACTTTTGAAAGGCAGCCAGACAGACTACAATACTGTATGATTCT